AAACAATACGAATCCTCATTTTGTTCGGTGCATCATTCCCAATCATGAGAAACGTGTAAGTGAACAAATTTGAGTATAATTACCTGATATAGTATAGTGTTTTACCGAATGAAGGCACACAAATTAATGAATATACTTTTCAGCATGGTGTTTTGAACGCTCACCTTGTCCTAGATCAATTAAGATGCAATGGAGTTCTCGAAGGAATCAGGATATGTCGTCAAGGATTTCCGAACAGGATTACTTTCCAGGTCCTTTTTTCGTAGAGGAAAAGAGTAGTCGCAGTCTCACTGCGCGTGCCCCTCCTCTTTCGAACTGCTCAGCGCCAGATTTTCTTTGCAGTTCCCAAGCTGCACTTCCATTTGCAGGAATTCCGTCAACGTTACGAGAGGCTACTTGCACCACATGCAATCCCTCATGGTTTTATGGATGGGAAAGAAGCTGTTCGGTCAGTGGTCCTCTGACTGCTTCCAAGAAACAGCCAATGTGGTTAAAATGTACAATTTTTATGAAAGTCGTTTTGCAGCCGAATCCTTGAGGCAATCGATGTACAGCCATCTCTGTACCGGATAGGTCAATCAAAAGTGTTCTTCCGTACGGGTGTCATTGCTGGCCTTGAAGAAGATCGTGATGAGAAACTAGGAGTACTTGTTGTCCGCTTCCAGGTTCGTGGAAATTAGCCACTTCTTGGGTTTTTTGATTTGTTAGCGTGAAAAGTTATACTCCAACAATTACTGAAAAAGTGTATCCTCCAGGCCCTTTGTCGTGGCATGTTAGCTCGTTCTGACTTCAATCGGCGTCGAGAAAAAGCTGCTGCCATTCGAGTAATCCAGCGAAATGGATTGGCTTGGATACGCCTTCGCGGATGGCTTTGGTGGAGATTGTTTACGAAGGTGATTCATTTTGAAAATTGACGAAACTGCAGGGCCTTTAATGATGTGTTTCAGGTAAAACCTTTGCTAGAAATAACCAACAAAGATATGGTAATCGCAGAGAAGGAGCAAGAGCTCAAGACTACTTCTGAGAAATTGAGAAGAAGCGAAATATTCATCAGTGATATGTATCGCAAGATCGAAAAGGTAATGCTGATATGGGACTTGCGAGCTTTCTCACAGGAAGTCTCCTTTTTCAGTTTGGTGAGGAAAAAAGTCGTCTACAGGAAAAGCTAGACATAGAAAGTTTGGAGCGCGCAGAGGCGGATGAAGAGCGACAACGTATTGCAGCTCGAAAGGTGACACTTATTTCTTATTTAGGGTTCTTGTTAGAACACGCTCTCAGTAAGGTAGTAAATGATTCAGTATTGAAGAAAAAAGCGGAGAAAATTCGCACGAAATGCCCCATATAAGACCCCATGATGAATCGCGCCTGTACGAGCAGAAGGCGAAGTAAGGGAATGGTCGAGCGAGCTTTTCTTCTTGCCACCTCACTCTTATCATTCGAGAAATAGTCAGTAGCGGAACAAAGGCACCATCAGGTGGCAGTTGAAAATGAAAGGCGCCGTTGTGGTCAGTGTGCGAGGCTGTGGTTCCAGCGCGAGCGGGCTTGGCTTTCCTCACTTGTTTTGAGGCTGCGAAATTAGTACATCCTTCAATCTTGTCGGCAGCATTACCTTGGCCAGAAAAAGTTTCTGAACATCGAATGAGCGGAAACCCAAGTTCACCAGTTTTTATGTGGGTATTTAGATGGAGCTTGAGACAGCTCTTGATCAAATGGAGAAACAGCTGCACTCCGAGGAACAACGCCGTGAGGCTGCCGAGCGTGAACGAAAGAAGCTGATGGTATACGCTTCGATTCGGATGGGTCGAGTACTTACGAATCCTTTTTTATAATGTTTTCAGGATAACGTCCATGACTTGGAGCTCCAACTTGAAGAGGAGGAGCGTGCTCGGCAAACGTTGCATATAGAAAAGGTTGAAATAGAGAAGAAGCTCAGAGATCTGGAGTCGCAAATTATGGAAAATGAAGACGCTGCTGGACGGGTGTGTAGGCCACTGAACCTTTTTCTGAATCGCTCTTTTTACGGTGTAGTTCTTGTGGAGAATTCCAATTACAGCTTATAAAAGAGAAGCGAATATTGGAAGAAAAAGTGAAGGATCTCTCAGCTCGGTTAATTGATGAAGAAGAAAGGGCTAAGTCACTTCTTAAACAGAAAAACAAAGCCGAAATATCCGCAGTCGACTTACAGGACGAATTAGAAAGGTAGGTGGGCACCATGCCATAGCTATGATTGGTTTTCTGAATATCGCAGGAACTTTAAGAGAGAAGGCAGCAAGAAACGAGGCGGAAGCTGCTAGGAGAGCGCTTGACGGTGAATTAAGAGAAGAAAGGGAGGCAGCAGCTGAGCGATTACGAAAAGTCGAAGAGTTTGCTCAGATGATAAGTCGTAAAGATGCTGAACTGGTGCAAATCAAACTTAGGTGACACTTTCAAGTATTTGTTAGTCATCACACATATTACTAGTATTTTCCCTCATACCATGTTTTTTTTTCATTGTGATATATTTTTAGAAACGACGAAGAAGCAGCTACACGCCAACAGCTGGAAAAGTCTTTACGTGAGTTGCAGTCTCAGCTGGATGACGCTATGGAGGACCTGAAGCAGGAGCATGCGTTACGGTAGAAACGTTCCACCTTTGCTATTTCTCTTGGTATTCTTTAAAGACCACCTGAATGGCAACATACGGTCGTGGTCCCTGCAAACGATATGGCGTGTGACGCGGAGCGCAGCCATGGCGCTTTATCAACCAGCATTGGCATCCTTAGCCCACTGCAGCTGGCTGGACATTTGTTCTTACTGTGTACTGAGCCATGCCCCGTCAGAGGCCCTATCGTATTCAAATTTATAACTGATAATCGCAAGAGACGCAGAATATCAGCGATTGAATGGTAGCAGACATTGTGTGCAATAAGGTAAGAAACATGTCTAGTGATGACGTGTGAAAGATAGGTTCGACATAGGTGCGGAAAGACTATGAGGCGCCGTCTCCGACGCAGTTTATATACAATTAAGGAACAAGCATGAACGGTTGATATAAGTAGATTGATTCGAGAGGATATCACAAAGATTTGATGGAAGAAATAATGAAAGTTGAAATAACGGCACATAACACACACTGATGAGAGATTGATAACGAGGGGAAGAAGTCTTCAGACATTCGACTGCACACCCACAGTCGGATATCTTCTTCGATATGGTTCATTAATATCGGACTGAGGTGCTTGGTTCAGTCCGTCGTAGTTGATGGTGATTTCGGAATTAATTTGGAATTTCTGCGGAATAGGATTGCCATCTGGACTACGTTCGTTCGTAGGAGTCATGACTAATTCGGAAGCAATACGACTGAATGGGTCAAGAATCAGAGATAGGAAACCGTTATAGGAAACGCTTTGAGCCACAGGAACTTCACAACCGGAGTCGTGAGGGAGGGCCTATATTCCTCTTGCGAGGGAGTAGATCGTATTGAGGGAAAACTTGCCATCGCCATAGCGGGCACTGTTTCGGAATAATTGCTCATGGGTAAATATGGTATTCAAAAAAGGATGAAGGATAAAGTCTTCGCGTTGATCAGTCTATGCGGCACTCCGCTTCCAATCAGAATCGTGGTGGCTCGTTGAATGCGATGAGGCCCATACAATGCGGGTCCTACCGATGTTTAAGTCTTGATTGGCCTAGGCGTGAGCCGGTCCGGGGCTAGAGTTCCAAACCGCGAGCGTTACAAGTGTGCTGCTTGCCATTACACCTTTTCCGGCTCAGGGTATCCAGTACTGGGGCTGTTTCATATTGACCCTCTTCTGATAGTATTGTTCTGTATGATGTGTAATTTCATACAGTCCCACATTCAGAGTCAAATCAGAAAAGACACGTCGTGAGCTTGCCGAACAAGTGGAGACTTACAAACTCGAGTTGGAGGAAACCCAAGATAAAAGCGCTTCACACCATGCAATGAGAACAAAGCGAGAGGAAGAGTACAGCTTGCTGCAGGTTAGACTCGGCCTTTCATTACTCTTTCACAGATTCCTCGCACAGATTTTTGGAAATGGAAGTAGTTGTTTCGGCAAAATGCTAACTATTCCACAATATATTCGATCTTTACAGAACCAGTTGTCTGAGAGCATGCGTGAGTTTGATGAGAGATACGAAGCCTTGCGGGCTAAACACGCGAAGCAGCTGGAGGAAATGGGGGAAGAGATGGATCAGATGAAACGAGCCAAGACCGCGGTTGGTTTCTATTGAGTTTCTGCCTTCCTTTTGTACCAGTCGCTTCGTAATTGCACCGATTTAGTCAGACAAGGCTCGAGCTCAGCTTGAAAACGATCTAATCAACGCCCAAGCTGAGCTGACTACGCTTCAGTCATTTCGAAGTGAAAGCGAACGAAAGAGAAAGGTGATTTTCTATGAGTTTGGAAAATTTCGGTTTTTTTTTATTCCGGATGTCGTTTTCATCTGAATATGAGTTTAGACAGCTGAAACGCAGCTTGCTGACCAAGCACTTCGGTTACAGCAGTACGCTGAAGAAAATGAACAACTCGTTGCTAAAGTTACAAAGGTAAGGAGCAGAGTGGTATGCTGAAACAGGACTACTGATACTCGTTTCATTTAGTTAGCCAGCGATCTGGATGCTGCTATGAAAGGCCGAGAGAAGGATGCAGAAACCAGTGGTAGCTTGTTGAAGAAGATTGCCAATCTTGAAATGGAGATCTCTGAAATGACTGAGGTCAGTCTATCAACCTTCCCCTATGAATTGTGATTCTGACGATGATGTAACATAAGCCGCGGATGCCCTTCTGCACATTCGAGCCGCAGTGAAGGCGGGAAAAGAGGCGTCACAAGCGACGTCATTCGTGCCAGCACCCAACTCTGTCAGTGCCGTAATGTCGCAACTTGAAGACGTTTAGCTTAGGAATAGTACGAGTTTGCACACGATGCTGAGCCTTAAATACATTCTATTACGTTCGCCGCCCAGTACAAAACTAATTACTACGTAATAATTGGGAAATAAAACCAGCTCCCTGTGTGAATCATTTCCTACAGAATGTGAAACCCTGCTTTCGCGTAGAGTTGATATAGCCTTGCTGAGACATTCTCGGCGGGTAACGTATTCGGGCGGTGGTGGTGTAATGGCAAAGGGCACGCTCCGCGCGGTCGCGGGTTCATATTCTGGGTCGACTCTCACCCAGGCCCATGGCGGCTTTCCTCCGGTGACGGTAAATCTAGATTTGTCTGGAAGGATAACACCACTGTATATATCACATCGACTGCCCCCACAAATCACTGTATGGGCAACATCGCATTCAATAGGCCGTTAAGATTCTGCACGAAAGTGGAATGCGCCCCACATTCCACAAACTGTTTAGCCAACGGCGAAGACATTATTCTTTATCCTTTTGATGTACTCGACCGCGGATCCGTTACATGTGCGCCGTGATTATTATTGTGCTGTTTGATGGGAAAATGGATGAAACTTCCGCTGCTGATCATTCACTTTTGGGATGCAGCACCAGTTTCTGTTCCTTTCAAAATCGTAGCAGCTTACTAAATGGGATGAGCCTTTACAATGACTCGCACGGGCCAACCGATGTACAGATCAGTCCCTTCATCCTTCTGGACGAATCTTGTAGAAACCCCAGTTTTGGAAGTTGAAGGCTCTGTTGGTGTGGGCGGAACCCGATCCCGAATTTGTCTCCCAGACCGCGAACTTGGTAAGCGGGGGGCAAATCCGATCGGCTCCCTCTCACCAACCGCCTGGTAAGAGGGCCAATTGCCACTACACCATCCACGTCCGTCTGACGCGGAATGAAGCTGTCTTAAGCAACGTGCAAATACTCCTTTCCAGGCAGCGGAAGAAGCCACGAGGAACCGCTCAAATCTCACGATGAAGGTAAGGAAAGCAGAAGATGAAGCAGCAGAGTTGCGAGATGCTCAGGATGAATTAAAACAACTCCTGGAAAAATCACAGAAGGTATCAGGGCCTCTTATCTTTCATGCTTTATTACGTTTTCCTTCATTCGTTTCTGATATCCTTGCAGGAGGTGGCATCGTTGAAGTCGCAGATGTCAGATGCGCGGAAACGATTCGATGAAGAGGTTTCCGATGCGGTTGCAGAAGTACAGCGAAAGCTATCACGTGATTTGGCGACAGCTGAGAGCCGGGTCAGCGAAGCTGAAGCGGCTCGTGACAAGGCTGAACGCGCCAAAACGAAAGCGCAACAAGAGGTTTGGTGTTTTCTATAAGCTGAAAGGTAGACTGGACGCATGGGCTCTATTTTTGCTTAAGGCTGAAGACGCATGCCGTGAAATCACTGAAATCACTGCTTCTGTAAGAGAATACGAGCGTAAGCAAAGGAAGTTCGATCAGCTTTTGGCTGAAGAAAAAGCGACAACGGCAAAAGCCATGGCTGATCGAGATCTTGCTCAACAACAGGTTAGATCTGTCGTATAGAGCTAATTCATGTTCTAATAAGTTTTAGCACTAATAAAGCACGGATGCTTTAGGCCCGGGATGCAGAAACGCGTTACTTGAACACGGTTAAAGAACTGAAAGACCTTCAAGGCCAGATTGAGGGTATTGAAAAAGAGCGGCGAATGCTACGCCTAGAAGTCGATAATTTGGTCAGTTTCCGTAGTCTCTATATCCTTACTGTAATAATATTACATGTATAGAATAATGGGTGTATAATTCATATGTAATACAGGCGTCGACAAAGGATGACGCAGGAAAAAGCGTATTCGAACTGGAGAAGGCGAAAAAACGTCTCGAGGAAGAGCTAGTAGAAGCCAGAGAACAGGTACCGCTTGGCAGCTTTCCAGTCGCTTCGTCGTGCTCTTATCGGGGGCTTACTGCTTCTTTCGATTACAGATTGCCGAATTAGAAGACGCGCTACAAATGGCTGATGACGCAAAAACCAGAAGTGACGTGATGCACCAGGCAGCTAAGCAGGAGTGGGAAAGACAGCTGTCGCAAAGGAATGACGAGGAGGAGGATCAGCGTCGTTCTCTTTCTAAACGAGTATGGTTTTCTAAGTAGACTTTCCCGCAGCTGTATATTGGGGATACTGGCTCCAGTCGCAGGGATTTGGGAGACTTTCATACAGTGGTAGATTGCATAGGGAAGGGAGGAGAGGGGACGAACAGAAGAGGAGTTTTTGGAAACGTCATACTGACACCGCCAACACACGTCACGATGCCCAAATGTGGTCACATATTTTTAGCTGCGCGAACTAGAAGAAGAGCTGAATGCGGAACAGCGAGTCAAAGCCCAAGCTGCAGCTGCAAAGAAGAAGTTGGAGGCGCAGGTTAGTGTGAATGTTTTCCTAAGAACCAGCAGTTCCCCCTGAATTTTTCAGGTGGTCACACTTCAAGAGAAAGTCCTCTTTTCAGGTGGTCACTCTTCAAGAGGAAGTCGAACATCTAACGAAACAAAACGAAGAGGCAAGCAGGCAGATTCGTCGCATTCAACTGAGTGCCAAAGAGGCAGAGACTGAAGGAGCTGAGGCTAGAGCAGCTATGGATGAGGCTTTGTGCAAAGCGAGAGATGCTGAAAAACGGTACAAGTTTTGCCATTGAAAATTGAAAGTTGCGAGAAAACCACTGATAACGAAAGCAAGTTGAGCTGATTTAGATTGCGTGCTGCTGAGGCGGACATTTCTCGTCTCAATGGAGAACTGTCATCGTGCCAGGCAGCCCGTAGAAAGGCTGAGAGTGAACGAGACGATCTTTCTGAGGAGCTGTCAGCCCTGAACCAAGGAGGCGTGGTTGGACAAGAGGAAAAGAAAAAGTTGTGGGAATCTTTCTGTGTCATAAATGTTAGCATCAGACATCTTTTTCAGGTTTGAGAAAATAATCGCGGACTTGCAAGATATGCTTGAAGAAGAGCAGACAAGTAACGAATTGTTGAACGAAAAGCTGAAGAAGTCCCAAGCACAGGTTAACTTCCATGTCTTTGTTCTGCCTGTATATCCGAAGGAAGTGTAGCTCTTTCTGGTAGCGCTACATTTTTTGTAGCCCATTTTATGTTGCACCTTTTCTTTTGGTCTCTCTTTGCTATGAAGTTTAGGTTCTGGAGTTTACTAGTTCAAGCCTTCTTCACTCCAGTCCCTGTAAAGGGTGTAAGGGAGGGACCTAGTTTGGTTGGAGTTCTATGACCAGGCTGCCCCATGTAGCAGCGCCACATGGGTAAATCGGTCGAACTACCGCGAGTTCCACTGGTGGGGGCGGTGGAGTCGTGGTAGCACTGCCGGGTCATTAGTTGCTATTTCCTTCCGAAATTGTGGAGAATGGCCATTTGGCCCTAGAACGGTAGCCCTTTTGGGCAATTTCTTTTGCTCTTGATTATAAAAATATGCTCTCCAAACTATATCAAGTCCTGGACACAATAATAGCGTAACCAAGTTTTGCGCCGAATGTCAAGGTAGACCAGTTCTATCGAATAAAGACAGACCTTGTACTCAAGGAACTCGTTGATAGTACAAGTAGTTTGGTTCTCATCCTTCAAGGATATCTCCCTCCACGTATTCGAAGGCGCTGCGGGCCCTTATATTGGCAGTTTTGCCGCCTCTCTACGTTGGCTGTTGGGTGGTATCCCGCGTTGGGATGATGCGATGAAACGATTAGCCGAGCACAGGCTGCAGGATATCGGCGTTCTGGTACTAAACAAGAATGTCCGAGAACTCATGGCAAAAAGCTGCCAGGATCCCTAACTCACGGGTGGTTTCCGATGATATTTTTTTTTGCTTTTTTCTTTCCTGGAGAGAGCTTAGCGGTTCGCCATTCAGGTCGAACAGTTAACTTCTGAACTGACTATGGAACGTTCAATGTGTGAGCGTGCAGATGCTGATAAAGTGACTCTGGAGCGAGCCCTTCGAGAGTTGAAATCTCAACTTCAAGAAGCTGAATGTGAGGAATTCTACTTCTTTATTTGCTTGTATTGTTTTTATTGTTTCACATACAGCTGCCGCCGCAACACGCGTCCGCAGTCAGCTTGCAACAGCCGAAGCCAGGGCTCAAATGCTGGAACAGCAACTGCAAGCAGAGGAGCAGGAGAAAGCTCGTGTATGTCGTCAGGTACGTATTCACCTCTTCGTCCGGAATTATTCACCTAAAGGGATAAATGCAGGCACGTCGACTCGAAACGCGAATAATGGAGATGAATGTTCAGTTTGAAGAGGAAAGACGCCAAATAGATCAGCATCGTGAATCGGTTAGTCTTCAGCGCATTGGTGTATTGATGATTCTCCTAGTAGAAGAAGTTCTTCAGTGTGAGCGAGCGAATTCCCGTTACAAAGCAGAACGTCGTCGAGCTCAGGAGTTGGAGGAAGAAGTAGCCGCCGCGAACTCTAAATATCGCGAAATTTCGCGGCAATTGATGGACATGAATGATGCGAATGATTCTCTCACTAGGGAAGTGAATGCCCTACGGGTAAGAGTTGATAAGATTTCAAGCACTGTTTATTCCCTTACCTCCCTTTTTTTCGAAACTGAGGCCAGATTTTGATCGAATTTTTTCTCCGAAATGGGTTTGGGAAGGTATTTGATCTTCTAATCAAGAGTATCGCATTCATTTGGAGCACAGTCGCATTGGGTGCGTGCTACAGGCGCCGGCAAGTGAGTTGCAAGGCCGGAAACTGTGGCACGGGATGGGGTTAAGGCGCCAAGCAGCAGATGCGATGCTTGTGTTCAGGACAAGTACCTAGGGACAAGTTTTTGGGAAATTTATTGATTTGGCATGTTTTGTCCCGGTGAAGCGGACGTCGGGCGTTTTCTTCCTCAGCGGATGAAATACTCGTGTTCAGTAGGTCAAACTACTTCTGGGGATCGAAATCTGTCCCTTCGTTTCGGATAGTGAGATGGTTTTGCCTCATGGTGTCTACCTTATCTACAGTCCTGTTCGCTGCGGATGCTGGGGTGTATCAAGGGCAGGGAGAGTGAGGTGCGGCGCGGCACCAGCCCATTTACCACCAATTGTCGTTTGTCCGCGCTCCATCAATCAATGAAGAACGGGTGGCGCCGCGCCAGA